GGAATCTGATCCCATGGCAATTAACAATGAAACACTATTGATTGGTAAAATTTATATACTTTTAAACTTATTTATTATGATAATAGAGCCTCCCATTGGTGCTCCTAAAAATCTGGTTCTATTGGAAACAGAATATAATGTCATTTGGGATGAACTCAAATGCTCTGAACAAAATGGTCTAATCACAGGCTATACAGTGATGATCAGCAACAGTAGTATCACATACAACCTCACCAGCACTAATACACACATCACATTGAATGACCTAGTATTTGATACTGAATATAACATCAGTGTAGCTGCAGTGAATGCTATTGGAAGTGGTCCTTTCAGTGATCACATAACAATAGGTATGACAATTGTATGCATCATTTTAATCTTATATCTTATCCCATAGTATTATATGTCTCATCTCCTTCATCTTCAATATTCCTTCCATCATCATCATCCCTAATATATTATCATACTCATGCTACATCAGTACCACGACTTCTTCTACTATCATCTTCTCAAACATCACCTCCAACTACAAGTACATCATATACTCCAACACCATTTACAACATCACCTCCAATATTACCTTTAAATACCACAACAAGTAAAAATTAATAATTATGAATCTTCTATCACAAATGTGCATAGTTCTTGCTACAGGTGTTGTACTAATAGTATCAATTCTACTAATAATCATCATTGTCATAGTATGCATTTTAAGGTACAGTACATTAATTTCTGTGCATACATGTATTCATATTATGTTGCACATTATTGTGTAGAATGAAGAAACTATCAAAGTCAAAAGGTATCAATGAAAATATTTCCATGCAGCAGCTTCATGGTTAGACTCCAATTATTAATGTTTAAGAGCTTATTGGTTTATTTCAGAAAGTACTCCTGATGATTGGTGAAACTACCAACACTGGACACAGGAAAGTAGAAAGTAGAGTATTTTTTTTCAAGAGAATAAACTAATCAACGCTTTAGTGATGACTGTGATAGTTTAATAGAATTTTAATAGTTTAAGTTATGCAAAAACTGAGAACTTATTTGGTGTTATATAAATGAATTGATGCTTGAATCATAGATACTATACCTTGGTATCTACTGTATAGCTAGAAATTTCTGTGGCCCAAAAGATTTCTGCAAATAGTGCCATTAAAATGGCTTTTGCAGATTTTTTGCTAATTCATCATGCCTTTTCCAATAAATTGTGTACCAAATTTTGAGGCAAATCCGCAAAATTATTACCGGTAGCAGAAATTTTGGGCCACAGGAATTTCTAGCATTTCTAGCTGTTATGTTTGATACATACCGTACAGCTGGTTAATTTTGCGGAGAAAAATTTTGCGAATCCTTAAAAATAACCTGGTTTGCGGATTAAATATTTGCGGTTTTGACAGTTATTGTAGCATTATCTACTGTGGTCATGCATGAATTTCATTATTTTGCGGATTTAAATTTTGCGCTTTAAATGGAATCGCAAACTCGCAAAATTTAATTCCCCGCAAATATTTCCAGCTATACGGTAGCACGAAAAAATAGGCGTGGCTTGCCGCGAAGACGCTCGTTAATTAAATCATAGATATTATAGACTACGTAACCGGGATTGGAAACAGATCACGTGATCCCATTCAAATCAATGTAACTATTCGGGTACAGTCTCTGTGACAGTGAGAGGCGGACGAAAATGCCTGACATGGCTGGAAAGAATGGTCTCTAGTGAAGTCCCGCAAGCTATTTCACCTGTACTTGGGCTCTTATAATATACGCACATGTTTATATTTTTCTTTGATACAAAAATAAAATGTGTTAGCTGTGTAAAAACAGGTGTTTAAAGCAAGTGCGCTCCCCGTGACAAGAGAAAATGTCTTATTCTCCCTCCTGCAAACAAGCTTTAGCTACCCCAGTTTCGTTTTATGATTAAAACTATGCACAAGGCCATGCTACATGAGAATAGACTGGTTAGTTCTGCCTGCCATATTACTGAGAGCAGAAATCCACCAAAATAACGCCAAAAAGCGGCCGATCTGTTGTACCTCTCCCGAGCGAACTAAGCATAGAGACACGAAGAGAAAGGTACCATCGTGATCTCTGGTATTTTCTTTATGCGATTAAGCTACTTAGAACCAGCTACATCACAGTATATTATTAATACGGCTCATCAAACATAACAATTCTTCATGATTTTCACCATTTTGATGTAAATTCATGCAATTTCATGCATTAATAATCACACAGTCTGTACACGTGACGTCATCAGTTTCCAATCCCGGTTACGTAGTCTATAATATCTATGATTAAATTAATTAATTTAAGGCGCGGTATCTATGGATAATGATGCTTTGAGTCCTCCTGTCTAAGATGAACTGAAGCTCAATCTTATCTTGAGGCTGTTATGTACATTTAGCAAGAAATTTTGACATTAACAAATCTTACAGTTCTACATTGATAAGTTCATAGCATTCTATGAGAAGATAATGTATGCAGCAGACTCAATGCTAGTACTGTCTATAGTCTTCATGATGAGTGTGAATCCAGCTATCAGTTATTGTCCTACATCAGGTATGATTGCAACGTATGTATCATGCATGAAAGTACAATATTTATAGGTATCTACCTGTTACACAGAGGACACTGTTATCATAATGGATCATATTTTTGGGATAGTAGAATCAAAGGAAGCAGGATAGATTGTAAGTTTCCTGTTGCTCTTTTAAGTGGCGGAGAATGGATTGGTCCAGCTGGAAAAGTCCCCTGTCCTGGCGAAAGAGCAAATCTTAAGTGCAGTTTTTATCAGGGGTATGCACCATCTACTAGGATCAGTTTGTACTTACCTTATTATGGAGGCAAATATCTTGATGCATCTGGCGATGGCTGGTACAAGTGTTGTCTACCCAGTAGTTGTTCAGATCCTAACACTAACATCATTTTTGCCAATATATTCAGTAAGAGGAGACTATAATCACTTATTACACTGGCTGATGTACATGTATATGCATGCCTTGATTTTCATTTTTAGGATTTGCACAGATAGAATCATTTTATGCTGCTGATCTTCCTTCTGATATGACAGTATATCCTCAGAAATACAAACTGAATTGTACTAAAATAGGACATAAGCCATATACTATTAGTATAAAACTTGGTAACACCTCACTCGCTAATTACACAAATTGTAATGATGGAAACAATTCCCCTTGTCCTGGTGATATAATAAATGGAGATACCAATACAGTGAGATATACTTTTGATATCACATGGGATGGGAGGACTGCTACCATTGGATCAAGTAATAATTTAATTACAGGAGATCAAATGTATAAGTGTTTTCTGGATAATAATGGAGGTCCTAATAGAACACGTACTTTAACCATAAAAGGTAATAAATTAATTGTACATGTAACTATGTTGCCATAAATCTAATAGTACCAGACACTGCTCCCTCTTCTCTTACTGTGATCAACAAGACAGCTACCACTATTACTGTCAGTTGGACTCCACTTGATTCATCTGATGCTGATGGATATGTAGTCAATGTCACTAATGACACAAATGCTACTGTGCAGACAATACAGGTGGAGGGAAATACTAACAATACAATCACACTGGATGGACTGGATATTCAAATAATTTATACCGTCACAGTAAGAGCCTATCAACAATTACTGGGACCTGCTGGTACATGTACAATCAGTTTACAGGACTTATTAGGTATGTTGGGTTGATGCACATGTATAATACTACTGTTGATGCCCATTTTATAGGCATTGATTACATCAATTGGACTCTAGTCTCATCCATTACACAACTCAATAGCACTCAATATCGTATTGATTGTATCACAACTACTGATACAAATTCATCAGCTGATGCTTACTGGTTAGTGAATGGAGTGATGAAGAGTAGCTCAATGTATGAATTAATCGATGATGACCGGACAAACAACACACTACTGATATATCCTGATCCACTGGGAGTATCACTAACTGTTTCATGTATAGCAATTTATGGAGGAGTCACCTACAGTGAATATGTGACACTGGACGGTATGATTTTAATACAATCAATAATACATTTATGTCTTTTCCTATAGCTTCTAATGGTCCTCCAATCAATGTGAAAGGGTTCATATTAAATTCTACTAGCATTAAAGTCAACTGGACTAATTCATCAGAGACTAATGGATATGTAATTACATATACTAATGGAGGTGTATTGCAGACAACCAGTAATGAAGCTGTATTGACAGATCTATCACCAATGA